TTCTTTTTCATAGATCCTATCACCTCCCCCTTGATTGTTATTTAAGGGACACCGTGTGTAGCCGGACGAACGGCTGTCAATCGTATGAGTAATATAAATATTAACAATATGAATAAATAATACGAATTTCATGCTGACATTTTAATTACTTTTCACAGATCGTGCCACATTCCGCCTGATTGTTATTTCAGGAACACCGTGTATAGTCGGACGAATGGCTGTCAATTCGTTAGTTCTTTCGCGTGAAAGTGGCTATCGGCAGCGGCCATGCTGTCATCGACATTGTCATCGGGGAGTTATGCATCTGGGATGATTTGACGCGGGCCGCACCTGCGACGGACAACAAAACGATTTCCCATTGGCGGTTAAGCGAAACGTTATTAATACGACGATCGGGGGCCCCGTCGTTTCAAGGGAATCTCTTTTGTTGGACGGCCCCGTTATATGTCACGTTACGCGCGGATTTATCGTTCGACGTTTGAAAAGGACCATGGGCTCGAAAGGGTAACACGTTTATCGGCCAGAAAAAGTACAGTGGCTCAGTGAATATCGAACACTCGGGGGTCCAAAAGACCAGAATTCGGTTCTACGTTTAAAAACACGTGAAAAACGCAGTATACAACTTTTTCCTACGACATGTTGTTCGCGAACAAAACACGCTCGAATGCGTTGGCGCGCACGTTTGAATGGACCGCCATTGTCCGCGCGTCAGGCTTCATTGCAGATTTTCTCGAAAACGAAACATCGTACGAGCAAAATGTATACCTCCATTTATACTCATCCTTGCATGAAGATGAATTTCATCTAGGTTGTTTTTAATTAATATTCAATATTCGTCCGAAATCCTCCGATTACTTAATTGATAATCAGAGAGTGGTACAAGAATAGAGATGTAATTTATTAAATATTGAAATTTTGAGATTCGAATGATCGTAGGGCGATTCTCCATAAAAAAACCGAACGGAAGTGTGGAGGACATTTTCTTCCTAAGTCCTACAGTTTTGAAACAGTAAGAGTTATTATTGAAAACAATCTATTCTAGACTTAAGCAAGACCTAATCGAGGCATAACCAAGACTAACCAGTAACTAATCCACATCCACGTATCATCTTACCAAAATTAAAACGACAACCAACAAAACTGTGCGACACAAAACCCACAAATCTGAGTAATTATTTAATGAAAAATTCGCATGCCCAGTTTCTCGTTCAATTCACGCGAGATGTTACCGAACAGATTCGCGATGTTCGTTTCAAAATTTGTGACAAGATGGAAAACGGTACTTTGATCGATACTCCCATGGAAATCAGTACGCGACATAAAGGATTCCTCCCTGCGCCTGTCACAGGAGGGAGAATTCATAAAAAGGAAACAAAAAGTAATGGGGGGGTGTCAGACGTGAAATTAATTTCACGCCCTGTACGTGGCTTTGCAAGCAAATGCGCGAGCGCGCGGTTGTTAACACAGGAAACGCGGATAAAATTCAATTCGGTCTGAGTCCCGTGGCCCCGTGTGATAGCATGATACCCTGTCAGCGAGTAAATTAAAACCGTCTTGTTTCTTTTACGCCTGCTGGCTTATCGCGTTATCATCGATGAGGGCGCACGGAAGGCCACGGGCGACATCGATTTTACCAAGGGGGTGGGTGGTGAGGTGTCTCGCTAACCGTTCGTTTCCTCCCCTTTCCCGAGACTGCGGCCCCATTGTGTTTATTCCACGGGACATTAATCCAAGGAGATCCCTCGGTCCGAAAACCGAAAAATCTGAACAGTTTACGTCATATAATCTCCAATTGGTATTATAAAATTATTATGTACTAACAGGCGAGGCTTAAACGTTGGAACCATGATTAGCCCAAGTAGAAACACCCCAAAATAGTGAGGCATACTATATCTCCAAAGCCACGCCCACAAATTTTTACATTTAACTACTTCAAGAACGAAGTTCTCTATGAAAAAGATCGAAACTACAGTTTGCAATCATTTTTATTTTGATTCATCACCATCAATAGTTCCTGCAAGTAGAAATACCACAAAATAGTCAGACAGATTAGCAATCCTGAATGCCACAGTTCCGAATTTTTTAATTCTTATTTTTTTTTAAAGGATTCCTTTCGAAAAACGTGTATAACACATTTCAATCATTTTTACGTAGATTCATCATCGTACCTGGTTACTGCAAGTGGAAATACCGCAAAATAGGCAGACACAGTAGCTATACCCTCAAAGCCACAGTTCCGAATTTTCAGTATTTATTCCTTCGATAGTGAATTCCCTTTGAAAAACATGTGTAACAGAGATTTCAATCTTTTTTAGGTAGATTCATCACCATCACTGGTACAAGTAGCCCTACACAAACATAGTCAGACAGGATACCTATCCTCAAAGCCCCAGCTCGAAATCTTAAAATTCAATTCTCTCAAAAAAGGGAAGCGCCCAACGGAAAACGTACATACGACACTTCTGACTTATTTTTGCGCGCAGATTCGCCTCCAGCATAATAATACAACAAATGAGCGTTACAAAACAATATTAACACTAGAACTACCAAAGCAGTTCTTAACGCAAATGTTACAACAATGCAATTTTCTCAGATTTTTCAAAACTTTTATTGCAGTACGAAAAAGAAGAAATTAGCTTGTAAATTTTAATATTTTCAGAAGGTTCTCATGATTATTTATCGGATGGACATAAATATACCCTTATCGTCGGTAGTTCTAGTGTTAATTAAATCCCATCACCGGAACTGAATTCGCCCAAGTTCACCTGTCCGATGGGCCAAGGCTTCCAAGCCACAATCTAGACCCGGGTAACATCATTTTCTCGCGGCAACAAAAGAAAACAACATTACCATTTCCCCCTTCATCCACGTTCGAACGTCCCCGGCCGAAATTAGCATCCAACGGACAAAGAAACTCGCGAGTCCCGCGATTGCATTAATGGTCGCGTGCCGCATATTAAACCCAACCCCACTCCCTTACCCCGTTACTAGCACCTCGGACTGTCGAAAGGTTAATCCTTCACCGGTTGTCAACGTGGGATATTAATTACAGCCAAGGACAGACCCGCAATACCCGCCCTTTGTACGAATCGCTGTACAACGAGTCGTTTATCAGCGATCGCGGATGCATGCAGCGTTAATTTTCTCTCTCTACCCGTTCCCAACCCCGTTGGTCACGTCATAACGCGTAGAAGCATCCACCGATTATGGGTTGACATTAACTCCCTTTGATCTACCCGCGGCTGGTTCGTTCATTTAGTTCGACCACGCCGTGAATTAACTCGTCGTTCTGGTCAGTCGATGCTCAAAATTGAATTGACCGCGGCGACGGACAGTGTTTCGAACTGTTTTGAGGCGGCGCTGTTATGGGCGCTCGGGTCGTGGCGGGTCGTCCCGTGGAAGTGATACGAGGTCACACAGGTGAAGAAATTTGGTGGTGAGCAGTTGGAATAATTTTTATTGGGTGGTTTTGATGATGGTGTTTCGATATCAAGATTCATTAGCTCCTGGGGGGACTGCGTTAGGTCAGAAATCTGATGATGAGGAATGAAAAGGTTTGGAACTTTTTTTTTATGGATGTCCTGATGATGGTGTCTGAGTATCAATATTGATTTGCACTGGGCTAGGTCTGGGTGATACATGGGAAGAGATGGATTGCTTAGGTGTCAACAATGGTTCCTGAGTAGGTCTGTGTTAGGTCAGAAATCTGATGATGAGGAATGAAAAGGTTTGGAACTTTTTTTTTATGGATGTCCTGATGATGGTGTCTGAGTATCAATATTGATTTGCAGTGGGCTAGGTCTAGGTGATATATAGGGAGAGGTGGATTGCTTGGTGATAACATCTAGGTGTCAACAATGGTTTCTAGGTCTGGGATAGGTCAGATATGTAGTGTAGAGGAATGGGGAGAGTTGACATTGTTTTCGTTCTGTCTTCTAATGATCTAGCTCTAAATACCAGTATCGATTGACACTGATCGTTTCAATTCGCCTGAAGACGGTCCTAAAGCATCCGTTCTAAATTAAGGATACTTTAAGTCTATTAATACTCCAGAGTCCAGGAAAAGAGAAATGACTAAAAATATCCTTTCAACGATGCACAGGACACCGAAGGCAGATTAAACGGAAGGTGCATTGAAGTCAAGTGGTACTGAAGAGGAAGCCTTTGACGCCGATTCAAAGGTGTTCAAATAAGCTCGTCCTCAGCCATCGGGGAACTGATTTATGGGCCGGCACCGTTTCGGGCATCCCCCGCAAGAAAGGAATTAGTATGAATATTCCGTGACCTGGAAGTAATGGCACGCTGCCATAATTTGTACACCGATTTTTACTTGGCTGTGCTCGACGTTGACAAATCACCGTCAAGTTGTTCTTTAATCGGCCCACGGAAAACCTTGATTTCGAAAAACACACCGGGTGTCCGGAAACAAAAGGTCGCAAACTTTCGAACCGAACAAAAATGGCCCTAATAAAAACGTACCGTTTCGGTACGTCCTTGTGCCAATAAATTATCTGTGAACGATAGGATACATCTCACCTACTGGTGACCGTCATATCAAGAATGGAAAATTCCCCGTCGGTCACCGGTGACCGTCACACCAATAATGGAAGGTTCCCCGTCGGTCACCGATGACCGTCACCTCGTGAATGGAAGATTCCCCGTCGGCCACCGGTGACTGCCGTGTCACGAATGGAAGATTATGCGACGGTCACCGGTGACCGTCACACCGCGATGTATATTATGCGACGGTCACCGGCGACCGTCACACCGCGATGTATATTATGCGACGGTCACCGGTGACCGTCACACCGCAATGTATATTATGCGACGGTCACCTGCGACCGTCACGCCGCGATGGACGATTCTGCGTCGGTCACCGGTAACCGTCGTCCCGTGAATGGAAGATTTTGCGACGGTGAATGTTTAAAATCACGTTTTCGCAAGGTTAGTACGAAAATTGCATAAATAATTCGGGGATTAAAGGACAAAGGAATACTCACCATCATCAATTTCTCGAATTCCTCCTCGATCACGGTGCCATTGTAGTAACGATTGGTGGACTTCGTGTCCGGGTAATAAAATCCCCGTTTGCAGACGCATCGATAGCTTCCGCGACGGAATCCGAGGCCCGGTATGGCGATACACTGTAACAACGATTATGCATTTCGGCGTGGAACGATTTGCAACTGGAGTATGAAAATTTCATGCAACCGTTCGAATGGGAGGGAGGGGGGGTGTGGAAGGGATTCTGTGTAAATTGACAGAACAATTCTTCCGAATGAGTTTTCTTATGGAAAGTTTAATTGGCGCGAGAGAACGATATTTGTTGCTCGTTTCGAAGAGTAGTTAAGTCCCGATAATCGAGCAGCGTTATCGAGAACGGATTAAAAAATTGATTAAGCGTTGGACTGCAGCTGTTGACGATGGAAACGAGATCTTTCGCCTGCAGTAATTTGGGCTGTTTAATTAAAAATAATTATGTGTACGAAGACTTTAATTTACTGATGTCATCTTGTTAATTTCTTTTCATTTTAAAGTTGATAATTAATAATGAAGGGAAATATTATCCATTAGAATCGAGAAAGTAATGCCCGAATAATCGAATCTTCTTGCAAAATTATTTTGTTTAAAGATAACACTCTACCGATCTGTCGACGTTTTCATGAAGATTTTATAAAATTCTGGGTTTTTTTATTAATCAAGTCACAAGCATCAATTAATATTAAAGTCAACTATTATTGACAGAAATGGATAAAATTGTGTTTCGATAAACCAGTTTGAAAATTCGATTGGAACACTCCAATTTGTTTGCGAACAAATCCAGAGGAAGAAAACCGTAAAACCTACCAATAGTCCAATCTGTGTGCAAACAAAAGTTCAGAGACAGTCAAAGTAGAATTTACAGTGATTTTTTTTCGTTTCAAATTTTTCGGGATTCTAGTTTATTTACCGATAAACTTTGGTGTGCTGATTCGTTAAAAAAATAATATCGAAAGGCATGGTTTACCCGGAGCAAATGTTTGCTTAGCCACTAACCTCAGTCGTTCGCTTTTTGCACTTGTCGCTTGCAGCAAATATGTTCAGCTGAGTGGATCCAGGCGGCAGGGGACACTGATCTATATCCAGCCTGCGTAGATCTATATCTATCCCGCTTGTTCCCCTGAAACATCGAAACGAAAATGTTCTAAAAAATTTTAGAAAATAAAAACCTTGAAGACACAAACATCAAGGTCGAAAATATTCTAACAAAACATAGATACCGATAATTTTTAATAAACCTAAAAAAAATAAATATTTTCTTATAAAAATAGGTTGAAGCAAAAATTACAGATAACAATTTTCTGAATCAAGCTTACGAGACATTGGAAATAAAAATGTCTGATTAACAAGAATAATAATATTAAAAATGAGAAGTGGAATATTTCTTGTAAAATAGAAAATATCGTAGAAATGGCATTGGCCTGATAAATTCTTTACTCGAAACAGGCAGAAAAGCTGAAATTTGTGATAGTCAATATTATTTGAAATTTTATTTAACCGTTGGAAATTATAATTTTCTAATTATGCCCGCGAAATAATGCAATCAGTATCACGTCAATAATTGACTTGTCAGTTCGCCACGCAATTTAGATGAACAAATCCAACTCGCTGGCCATCCTGGAGGAATGAAACGTCATTATGATGTGTTGAGGTAACTTCGTGGAACGACACGCACTAACGAGACCCATTGGTTACGAGTTCGTGAGAGGCATAATTAATTACATACTATCCGGCCGAGGACGTATCAGATCCAGTCGAATGTACCAATTATGGGTCGATGTTTGATTGAGTCGATATTGAGATAGACCAAACCAAACCTTCTTCTATCCCAACGTTCCATTATCCAAAACTTCCACTGTCCGAACGTTCCAATATCCGAACATTCCACTATCCGAACACTCCACTATCCGAACGTTCTACTATCCGAACACTCCACTATCCGAACGTTCCACTATCCGAACCTTCTATTATCTGAACCTTCTACTATCTGAACGTTCCACTATCCGAACATTCCACTATTTAAACGTTCTACTATCCGAACGTTCCAATATCGGAACCCTCCACTATCCGAACTCTTTAATATCCGAACGTTCTACTGTCAGAGCACTCTACTATACGAACGTTCCCCTATCCGAACGTTCCCCTATCCGAACTTTCCACTATCCGAACACTCCACTATCCGAACGTTCCACTATCCGAACCTTCTATTATCTGAACCTTCCACTATCCGAACATTCCACTATTTAAACGTTCTACTATCCGAACGTTCCACTATCGGAACCCTCCATTATCCGAACTCTCTAATATCCGAACGTTCTACTGTCAAAGCACTCTACTATACGAACGTTCTATTATTCGAACGTTCTGTTATCCGAACAGTTCTATTGCAAATATGTATAGCGTAACAATATTAAATAATACCACCATCGCTGTCACAGCTATTAATATAATCTTCGTCGCTATTAACTCCTTAAAGGTACCATTATTGCTTTCGCCATCGTCGGCTCTATGCTCACTGGCATTGTAATGCATACTGCACTTCTCTAGCCATTACCACGAGCACCGTCCCTGTAACCGGCGTCTCGTCATTAGCGACGTGAACCTATGCATCTTACAAAGGGCACTAAATCGATCCGGCCGGTTCTCTTCCCACGGTTCCGCTAAACAGACGCTCTATTTGAACAGGTGTATTCTGTATATATTAATTACCATCAATTATCTGCCTCATATACGCAGTGTCCCTACGATGTAAATTGAAATATCTATAAGAAAACGCAAGCAAACGCAAATATTCACCTTCGCCAATGGTTTTACAGTGATCAGGCCTTAAACTGATCACACTCATGGTATCGTTTTATGTATTATTAAATAAGAAATTATAGACTATTTCGACATCGTTAAAACCTGCTTCTACACAAACTTTCTCAACAGTCCATTTACCCAGTAACAATCGCAGACTCAGTAACACTTACAGAGTAAACTTCAGATTGCCAAGAATCGCCATTAGCCGCGATCGAAAAAATCGTTCATTACCCAAAGTCAATTCAGGATTCCTTTAACACCGGCTACGATACCCATGCAATCGACGGTTATTACTGTAACCGGCAGCATTTCTCCAACAACAACAACGATTCTATTCGGAGACAATTATTGGAACTGCATTGAACCTTCGAAGGAAACACGGTGAGATAATCGGGCAAGTGCGCGCGTTTTAAATCGTCGCGATTACGATAGGAAGGGAATGGGGAAAGCCAGGTGTGTGATAATACAGTCCAGAAAATGGCGGCTATCGCTGGGATAAAGGGCGAGGGAAACATTTTTTCGTACACTGCCCGGGTGCACTCTCCGGCCAGCTATTAGCGGGAGATCGAACGGCGATAATGTCAAAGCAATTTCATTAGAAGGAGCACTGCTCGAAGCCCTTGGCGAGATGCCTGGTCTAGCACTGCTAATGGATGCTCAAGAAAACAAATTGCTCTTTTATGCCGCCACGGGAACTCCTCTTTTTTCGTCTCAACGGGCAACGAAAGTGAGGATTCCTTGATGCATCGGGGCCATCTTTGGACCTTTGAATCGGTGGATAATTGAACTGGACCTCTCTGGTAAATATATTTTAAATTAAAGAATTTAATTATTCCGGATTGTTTGTTGGAGTGACGGTTGTGGGATGAGCTGATGACAAATTCTTGAGATATTCGAAATGTTGAGGAAGATCTGGAGATTGGAAGTGCAGGCAGGTAGAACAATGGGCTAGAGAAGTAATTGTCTCGACGCTTAACACACTCGGGACCGACGTATTATTACAAGACTATCTTCAGTAGCCGGCAACGTTATTGTCAGCTGCACGTGACATACATGCTGTGTTTTATCCATTACGTGGGTGAGATATTATAATACGCATATGCTGAGTCTTTGGTCTCTTCTAGATACTTATAGTCTCTCATAGTCCCTCATAGTCCCTAAGAATCCCTTCTAGTCCCCCATAGTCTCTCATAGTCTCTCATAGTCCCTAAGAATACCTTATAGTTCCTCATAGTCTTTCATAGTCCCTAATAATCCCTTACAGTCCCTCATAGTCCTTAAGAATTTCTAATAGTCCCTAACAGTCCCTCCTAGAATACCTCATAATCCCTAATAATCCCTCACAGCCCTTAAGAATCCCTTATAGTCCCTCACAGTCCCTCCTAGAATACCTCATAGTCCCTCACAGTCCCTCCTAGAATACCCCATAGTCCTTAAGAATCCGTTATAGTCCCTCACAGTCCCTCCTAGAATACCTCATAGTCCTTAAGAATCCCTTATAGTCCCTTACAGTACCTCGTAGAATACCTCATAGTCCCTAAGAGTCCCTTATAGTCCCTCATAGTCCTTCATGGACCTTCATGGTCCTGCATAGTCCCTTGCAGTCCCTGACATCCCCTTCCCCCAATATTACAGGACATTGTAATGGGAAAATGTAAGACATTAGTAAACAAATTTTTCTTTTATTCTTTCACGTAGAATCACCACTTGGTAATACGGTAATAAGAAACACGGTGGGCAGAGTATTCAATACGAAACTATGTACGAAATCCTTCTTTTTGTTGACAATTCATAAATGCTACAGAAAAAGAGCAATAACTTATTAAACACTGAAACTTCGAAGCTCAAACGACCGTAACGTTATTCTCGATCGAAACTATATAGAACATTTCTTCGTACCGTTTTGACGAAAAACAACTTTGAAACTAACTAACCCACCACACCCTAAATGGTGGCGCCACTGTTCTAACTCTAACGCTAACTGACATCTTGTACGAAATAAGCATTCAACACGACGGAAACCAGCACTTTGCCCCCCGGCTGTCCAACGTGGATTCCGCTGCAATTCCAACAGGAACGTTCGCTGACGTTCGAGTCTCATTCCCGTTGAAGACGTTGCCCCATTCATTATTATCTTTCGCAATTTACTCGAACGCCGCCGCGTTATCCCGGAAAGCATAGTTCTGTATCCTCTCAGCCTCTGTATCATTCAAGCTCTCTGTTTTTCATTCCTCCACGGTTTTCCCGCCGGCGAATATTTTACTGTCAGGCCGACCGTCGTGAAAACTATTCTTCCGTTTGTTTATTTCGCTTTCTCCGCCTGGGCGTCATGCGAACAGCAACGCCGCCCGGAATTACCTTCTTGCGGACGGGGAAAGCAGAGCGACGGATTAAATCCTTTCGTTAGATGAAATCCGAGCCCGGCCTGTTTATCAAGTAATTCTTAATTAAACTTCCCACCCGAAACCTCAACGCCATTGTTGGGTAGCTTGGTCTACAAGTGTCAATGAGAAACCTTGGAATTCGTATTTCATGTAACAAAATTTAAGGAAATAGTTACATACGTATTGAAAGTGGAAAATACTGTTGTATAGGTCATGTATTAGTTCAGAACTGGTAGCCAAATTCAATTAGGGCAAAGTTAAAAACTGACTGAACCCTAGGATGGCAGAACTCAACATATTGTACAAAAATTTTTTCATAAAATCAAAATAGTCATTATAAGACTATTTAGGACATTTCTTTTTCATAAAACAAATAACGAAATAGTAGTCACAGAAATACCGTTTTCCTAAGGTTTCGATGTCACTCAAAGAAGTTTCGTACTGCCGATAAGAAATATTCCTGATAGTCACTGAAGTGATAAAGTAAGCGTCTACTCTAGTAAGCAAATGTAGTTAGCTGGTTACAGGAATAATTCGTGGGATAAATCTAGATTTACGACGGAAATCTTGAAAACATGTCTGACAGCTTTGACGTTGTTAGAGTTTTTACAGGTGTTCTTCTGGGAATCAATGTGTTCAAGACCTAGCAAGGCTGTGAACGAAACCTTGAACAGACCTTCATGTGTTCAGAATTCAGTCCTCTCGAGAGCGTTCAATTAACACTGTGCTGAAGTGGTTAAACGTGGGAAATTAAGTTCCTTCTCCAAGGTAAGTGGATCCTCAACAAGGCTCTAGTTATATTCCCAACAAAAGGATATAGAGACACCAAAGGGGAATCGACAGGTGAATCTGTCCCCGTTCCGTGGCATCGGAGGCACCTAGCCTGACGAAAGTCCGTTTAATGCGACGTTAACGATCGCATTTTTCAAGCCTG